TACTTAATTAGTAACTAACGTGTTCTGGAATAACCCGAGAAAAATTTTGGTCACCATTCATGGTCTCGGAATTTGGTTGTTTAACATTTAAAAAAAAAATAAAAGAATCTGTTATCTTAGGTAATTCGAGTGAACCAGCCAGTTTGTGATTTGTCGAAAGTGAGTTTTTATTGAACATCAATGGACCAAGATGTTGGATCGGAATTTTATGCGAATGACGAAAAGCAAGTTATTTGTTGAATAAGTGAGAAAGAGAGAAGAAACGGAGAGAGTAGATCATGCTTGATAAAAGAACTTAAAAGACCCTATCTATGCCAAAAGAGATTAGGATTTTACGAGCCTGACGACATGCTGCCACGCGATAACGTTTACTTATATTGACGCGTAATTACCTTTAAAAATTTTCACGTCAATAAATTTCGTGCAGTTGTCGACCAATTATTTATTTAATTTATTTTTATTAGCTCGTACAGTCATCCTACTACGTCTATCTCTTTTCGATAAAGTAACAAAAATTGCGACAATCGTACAATCGATTAGAATCTCGATTATAAACGGTGATTCGTAAATTATCAAAATTTATTGGCGTTAAAACGTTCAACGTAAACGTTCAACTAGCGTGACGTCAATGCTACGGAAATTTGTCGGAATAATCTATCGAAGGGGGAACGAGACTTCTCTTCTCCATTGGTGCGAGTGATTTGTTACAATTCGATATGCCTATTTAAGAAACATTTGGGGCTTTCTATTGTCAAAAGGGAGACGACGACCAGGTGACTCTTTCGGCTCGTGCTCTTTTCAAAGCCACTAAATTTCGTGGTTTCTTTCTCTCTCTCTCTTTTTTTCTTGCTTTCTTATTGAATAGAGACGTTCACGATTTTCTTCCATAGGCCGAATGGGGGACTCGTTGTAACGATTTTTCATTCTTACTCAACCACCCCCCTCCCCTCTGCTTCCTCTTTTTTTCTGTCTCTCTCTCTCTCTCTCTCTCTCTCTCTTAGAAATAATATTTTTAGAAATCGATCACATAAATCGAATAAACTGTTTAGAAACCCCATGGACGACGGATGATGCATCGTCGGTTTTACGTTTGATAGAAATGATGAGGATTCTTTCACGATTTCTTTTAAATTTGACTCTGAAGCTGTTTTTAATCGAGGACGAAAGTTAGTCGTCAAAGTTTTGATCTAAGGTGATTCGTCAACGGTAATAAAATCGATCGTTTTGAGTTAACTCTCGGTGAACGGGTGGAATCGAGAACGTCTCGATGGATGAAAATAAAATATTAAAAGAAGGAGGAATAGGAGAAGGATGAGAAGGAGGAGGAAAGAAAAGAAAAGAAAAGAAAAGGAAAAGGAAAAGGGAAGGAAGATGGTGGCGTTTAGGCGACACCAGGACGGCCGGTGGTGTCCAGCTGAGAACCATCGCCGACGGCGGCTCGGTAGCCGCGTTTTTCATCGGCGTGTTGGGATCATTCTATTCAAGTGTTGGCAGTTTTTCACGCGGCAGGCAACGAATATCCATCCCCACTAAAATTCCACTTTTCGAACGTAGTCCCCACGTGGCCACGAGGAGGAGGAAGAGGATGAGGAGGAGGATGTCATGCCGGTTTGTCAGAGTTTAGTCCTCGGTCGCATTCACCGTGCTGATCTCGTACCGGTGATCACACAATATCTATCTTCTCTACTCTTTTCTTCGTTTTTTATTTATTTATTTTTTTTTTAATAAATCGAGAATAATTTACTTACAAAGTTATATTCGATCGTTTTTCGTGTCTAAATATATCGTCCCTTTATGATTAAATTATTTCATTTTATTATCGATCGGAAACGAGAATCGAATTAAATGCAATTTTGTTAGTTATTTTCTAAAAAGACAACATTTGACAAATTGGTTACGAATTTATGATAAATTCGTCAGTGACGTATAACTTTAACGCAGGATTAACGGTGACGCGTGTTGTTTGATTCATCGATATCTCTCAACGGAGATTAACGGATCGTGCCTTGGCGCGTTTTCAAAGTTTAGCACGTGGTGGTATTTTTTTTTTTTTTTCTTGTGCTGTTTGATCGCACTACCCTATTGTCTCGTTGAACTAGGGACAACTGATTAGGTATAAGGAGTATTGTTTATCGATTCGATGTGGAGTAATGGGACGAAAATGATGACGTCACGAAGTACAGATACGCCGATATGTATTTGGAGATTTTACGGTGAGTATTAGATTCGACATATCGATAAAGATAAAAAAAAAAAGTTGACAATGTAATAAGTAGTGACGATTATTTGTGAAAGATGTTGTTTGTTAAGACGTTGTTGTCAAGAGAACGACAAAAGTTCTGTCTCATTGAGATTCCACGAGAACTCGGAATTCTTCAACTCGGCCACGTGCTCAAAGGCGCGAAGCTTCATCGCGAAAACGTTTACTTCTGACGTGCGAGTCAAAGAGCCTCGAGTCCTCCTCCTCCTCCTCCTCCTCCTCCTCCTTCTCCTCTTACTTCTTTTTCTTTTTCTTCTTCTTCTTCTTCTACTTCTTCTTCTTCTTACGAAGCAAGATACTACGTCGATACTAGAAATACTGGAAATACTGGATTTTTCACATCCTCCCTCTCGAAGAGTTTCTTCTATCATTTTTCTTCTTCTCTTTCTCTCTCTCTCTCTTCAATTTTTTCCCTTCTGTTTATTTATTTGTCTACGTCATTCTCTCACTTTCACGAATCTAACCATAATAGAATCTAAAATAATGATAAAGATACTTTCTTCTATAATGAATGTTTTAATTTTTGTTTTGAATTATTATCTAACAAGAAAACAAAACAAAAACAGAATAGACAAAAAGAACAAGAGTAACACGTTTGATAACACTATCTCTCTCTCTCTCTCTCTCTCTCACTCTCTCTCTCTCTCTCTCTCACTCTCTCTCTCTTTCTCTTTCTATTCGTCTCTTTGTCATATAGTACTTCGAGGCCGACTAATGAGACGAACGGCGGTACGACGAAGGTTGTTGTCAGCGGTACATCAAGCGTTGTGACTAATTTTGCAATTATGTAAAAGCCTGTGCAAGAGTTGAGGCTTCAAGCCAATGAGAGGAGGAATACTCGTACACCTTGGGACTGGAGCTTGACAGCTGGTCGCGACCGGCAGCATGAGTTCTCGCGAAAAATCGATACTTCGATCGGATCGTTCAGATAAGGAGAATAAGCCGCAACCCGATTTCGTGAGACAAGATCGAACATATCTCTCGTACTCTCTTTTTCACTTTATATCTTTCTCTTTCTCTTTCTTTCTATCCTCCTCCTCACTGACAGTATCAACGTTATTACTGTCCTCGTTAAAGCTGCTTTTGGAATATGAAATTACCTCGTCGAATGCAGAGCCTTATCTTTTTTTTTTCTTTTCTTTTTCCTTCTCAACTTTGAGAAGTAAATGAAAAGGATAAGAATAAAAAAATTAATATATATATAATAATGTATATAAAACATCATATATGTAAAATAAAACGTAGTACAATAACATAAACTTAGTAACGTCTCGATAATAGGAAAAGGTCTTAACGTCGTGACGTTTAGCGCATTTCTAGTTGCGAGTAGTAACCGTCTCGTCGGTACAATTAAACCTCGGAAACCTGAGAAGACTGCGTTAGGATAACCGCAGCACGCATTACACGCTCGATGCTTGTCGCGTTGGATATACGGTGATAAACGTGCGAGAAGTGAATCTCTCTCTCTTTCTCTCTTTCTTTCAAAGTTAAGAATCATTGGCTTTTACGATCGACATCAAACGATATCCAAAGTAGTATTCGATTACAAGAAGATTGAACGAAAGAGAAACAGAGAGAGAGAGAGAGAGAGAGAGAGAGAAAAGGAAATAATTGGTAGCCAAATAATGTATCATAAATCTTAATCCATTATTATCCATGATACTATAATCAAAGACATAATTAAAATAAACGTCTAACGTTTTTCACGTTGAACGAATACCAGAAATAAAACAAAGTGAACGTTTTTTTAAGAGAACTTAAACACACCCAACTAAAGTATCTTTTTGTTAGGTATTAAATCAACGAACAAAAATGTACATTAAAGTTTTTAACTTTATCGTAGCAAGCTAATAACGAGTTAAATTTAAGGAGGAAATATGAAAAAAGAAAAAAAAATTTGATAGCACTTTTTAGTATGTGCATTGATCAATTTCTGTCCCTTTTTACTAGTAACGTTTCCTTGCCCTCGTTGTTATAAACCATTGGTGTTCACCTGTCTGTTATGTTCTGTGTAACACAAGATGCATTAACATTGCGCAACTCGTGTGGCTGTGCACCACACGAGCAGCTCACTTGCAACTGGGTTATTACTTACAAACCGTGACACATCGTCTTACTACTCTTGATTTCTAACAAGATACTACTGTTCATGTTCTTTCCTTTGAACAACAAAGTTTCGATTATATTTCCTCAAACTTACCTTTCACAACAAGCAATTTCAATAATTTAAGTTCTTAGTATGCTACCGTTTGCTTTGATTATTCCGATCGATTGATCGATAGATTCAAGCCACGTGCCACGTCAATCAAACGATTTCAAAAGATATAAGAATGATGAAGAAGAGGTTGCGATAAGAAAGAGTTCATCATCGATTAGAGTAATATTATTTCAGATACAGACAACATCGGTGAGTTGCATTCGACGAATGCAACGATGCAATCTACCAGTCGTAATTTGTCACCGGTATTTAATCATACCTTACACGTATTTTCCTCATCTATTATGAATGATTCGTTGAATCTTCTAATTTCGATTTGTAAAATTGATATAATAATCATTTTTTTAATCGAATTATTCAAGTTATTTATTAAGAATTATTTATTAGCAAAAATATGACGATTTAGTCTCCAATTAAACATAATTATTTATGAAATAATATAGATATACGATTATTGATTTTTCTTTTTTTTTTTTTCTATTTCGATTAATTCTTATCGATAATAATAATTTGTTGTTACAGGTTACCACAGCTTGCCGTTTTAGCGAAGATTTTGTGCCTCCTGATGGTAAGTTTTTCATTCTTACGTAACACTATTATCTTCGATCGAGATTCGAAATAGATTTGCGATATCTTGCGAAGACTTGAAACTTTCTAACGATCTTGTCTTATAGCTTGAGATAGTAAAGGATCCTTAAATACCATAGAATTTCATCGGTATTATCTATCTAAGAAAAAGTTATTAAAAGTTTCTTATATTCGGTAGTAGTTCTATTCTCTTTGAAAGAAGTAAGTAGATATAGAGGTATACCCACCGAACAGTTATACTACCACGAAATCGACTTTCAATAGGTTAGTCAGTGACACGCAAAAGTTTCGCGAGAAAACTCGTAGTAGAAGAGAAACGTGTCGTTATTCTTACTGCTTTTGCAAGCTGGCATACATTGTACTTTTCATTCTTATCTATCTCACACAAACACTATAGGTATATACTCCAGTGTGTGCATGTATCTACATAGTACGTGTAACCGACCGATAGTAGCACGTTCCCTTTCCTCATCCTCTTCTTCCCGTAGTCTGTTCGGTGACCGGGTCAGATCAGAGATATCCTTCCGTGCGAGAAAGAGAGGATGGAATTCGTGTTACGAGTTAAAGATAAAGATAAAGATAAATAAAAAAGAAAAAATACTAATAAAAAGAGTAGAGAAAGAGAAAGAGAAAGAGGAGGAGGAGGAGGAGGAGGAGAGAGTATCGCGTGTTGGAAGTCGTGCCAGGACTTAGTAAATCGACGATTACGTCGGCGAGCACCTTACCTGCCATAGATTAATGATCGGTGCTTCCACTCCTACACGTTTACAACGCCAAAGATTTATATCGACGTGCTCGTTCGTTCGTTGCCGCCTTTGAGCTTCTACTTTCTTACCTACCCGATGATCTCTTATACCTTCCTTTCCCCTTGTACCTTTAATTTCGCGCTCTTGTATTCGCGACACGTTCTCATATCTTTTTCCCCTTCTTCCATCTTCTTCTCTTTCTTCTTACTAACTATCATTCTCTCTTTCTATATATTTTATGTTTGACTTTTTATTCCCTTTTTCCTCCCTATAAACTTTCAATCCTTTTCTTAAGTCAGCATTCGTTTGTTACGAAAGAATAAATTCAATGTTTATCCATTAGACTCTTCGATAATAACGATTGGAAGAGCACCTGTGAATCGATTCGAATTCTCCGATTCGATCGATGGATCGAATGAAGATTTACAATCGTTTTTAACTCTGCTTATGAGGATAATTCGGTACGAGAGAGAGAAAGAGAGTCATGAGCCTGATTTAATAAATAAATGATCGAATGAAATATCAAGAGATATGTGTTTACTTTATGATTTTTTTACCAGATTTTTTTATGTCAAGGATCTTCGAGTTGTGAGAAATATAAAAACAAACAAATGAGAACAAGATTTTACAATTGATTAATAAAATATTAATAAAAATTTTTAGAAATCGTTGTTGTCAGATATTTCTTTTTTTTTTCTGCTTCTTCTTTTTCTTCTTCTTTTCGTATTAAAACGTGCACAATCACCACCCTCGTATACATGACGGTGTCGTTAGAATTGAAAATACTATGATGTTGTTATTCGAGTTGAAACAAACCACGGAATGTTATTTTCAATTTGGTTAATTAGATGGAACGGAGTGGCGTATGGCGGGTTGGTCAGCCTCGTAACATTATTATGGCGCCAGTTTTGAAATAAACGAAAGAGAATTTTCAGAGGTGCCATTAATGGACGGCTCGTGTCTGCTCGTTAACGATCCTCCCCCTTTTTACTTTTCTTTTTTCTCGACATGGACGCTTATTTGCTCGCGCTCTAAACGTCTCTTCGAATCGTGAGTTGCAAGGAACCAGAAAGACGAAGAAGGAAAAGTCGACGTTACAAACTAACGTGTGTCTTTTCGTCCACGAGATCGTATAAATGTCCGTTAACGTATCGTAAAAGTAAATGCAACTTTCGCAAATATCTTTTAACGACATCAAAAAAAAAAAAAAAACAATAAACAACAAACAAAAACTTTTCTCTCTTTCTCTTTGAAGAAGATCCTTCCTGAGTTTTCCAAGCTTCGTCAAATAATTTATATGAGTTTAATTATTTCCATCTCTTATAAATTCATTTAACCAAAGAGATACACTCTTTATTATACAGGTATATATATATATATATACACCCTCTCTAAATACTTAAATCGTACCGTGTGAGAAAATAAACGTAAGATAAATGTATGGTTAGGTAATGGCATTTATAGTTACCCGGCACGCGCTTAAAAGCACTAAAATATAGTTTCACGTGTGTTTACGGGCGTGTCGTGTCTCGTGTAAGAATATAGTAACCTTTTTCCATGGGATGGTATTATTCCCTTTTCGGAAGACATAAGAGTACCCTTTTGTAATTGCAGGTGGTGATGTGCGGGGCGGTACCTGCGATGGTGCGCTCCGTGAGTCTCTACTCGACTTGCAGCAGCGGCAATGTTACCGTAATGGGCCGCTCGATCAAGGCCGTGGGACGCAGCGATGACAATGCACCCTACCGTAAGTGGAAGCTTTTCATCTTTTCGACCATCTTTCTTCTACCTAACGTCTTCTTATACGATTATTTTCTTTTCTCTTTTTAAAATGACGATGATACTTAATCAACGACATTAACGATGAAAAAAAAAAACAAAATTCAACGAAATTTTTGTTTTAAATATCGATCATTTACAGATCGTTTATTCTATTTAAAAAGTTGATCAAGTTTACGCTTTTTCGAATATTTAAATAATAATAATAGTAATAATAATAATAATAATAATAAGTTAATCTACGTGATAGATTTTCAAATGAGATATAAAATGAGACGCGCGTGTGGTTATCTTATGATTAGTTAATCGAACCCAATCGAGAGTTTCGTGGTACAAGAGGCAACGAGCATCTTATCTTACGAATCGATGGTTCCTTAAAAATTTCTCGAAGGGCTGCCGAAGAAGAGAGGAGTTTAAAAACGTCGACGACCGTCGGCATTAAAGATCTTAATTTACTGCGATCCTTATCGGTTAGAGCTCGGATCGAGAGGACTTATATATTTCCTTCTCTCTCTCTCTCTCTCTCTCTCTTTCTCTTTCACTCTCCTTTTTGGCTACTAACATAAGAGAGAGAGAGAGAGAGAGAGAGAGAGAAACAATATTTTTCTCTCTTTTTTTATCCTTTATCTACTTCTTTCTCTCGTTCGTCCAAAAGCGTAGCTTTTACGAGCTAATAACCAAAGATAGTATCAAACGGGAAGCATGTGCTATCGATTCTCGAGATTTAAAAGAACAAATTTCGAATTCCTCGAAATACACGAAAGGATCTTTATTTCTAACGAAGTTAGAGACGAGATTAACTTACTTCGATTAAAGTAAAAGAAGACAAGAAAAATTCAAATTTTGGTGGTCTTTATCTATTTTTTTTTTTTTGTTTTTTTCGTATTCGTAATTTTTCTTCGTAAACGATACAAAAAGAGGTCGGACATGAAAAAAAAAAAAAAAGAAAAAAGAAAAATGTAAAAGAAGGATAAGGATCCGCGATGATCGTCAGAGAAATCTCATCTTCGCTAATAACACCGAGAAGAGGAGCAATATCTCTTTGGAGAGAGAAAAAGAATGAGAGTAAGGGTGTTGCCCTTTTCGCTCGAGAAAAGACAGAGACGAAGAGGTGGGACTACTTAAAAAAAAAAAAAAAAAAAACGAAGGGAGTTTTTGTAAGGACCGAGAGAATTCGAGATGAGTAACGATGGATGGACCTTTACCTCGTCTAGTCGTTATATTTTTCGACTAGACACCGTTTATCTCAACGTCTTATCTATCCATAATTCTCGACCATTCGCTCTCTTATTCTTTTTATCCCATCTTTTATTTATTGATCACCTTCGAAAATATACACAAACTTTTCTTTTCCTTCCAAAGCCGTAGTTACACGTACCTATTTACAAGCGCGTAAAATCCTATCTCTATCTTATAAACGAGAAATAATACTTGTGACCAAAGACAATTTTTCGAAGACCAAACCAACTGGAAAAGCGTATCCTTATCGCAAATTGATTAGCTCGTAAATGTCAAAACTTGTCCTATAGGTATGACCGTTTCGATAGAAATAACCATGCTTCGATGTGTTCAATCGTTTCCCGGAATGTCCTTCTCTCCGATCTTTTTTTTTTTTCTTTCCTTTCTTTCTTTCCCTTTCTGTTTCTTCACATTTATCGTTGAAACTTGGTTTTTGGTGAGAGAAAAATCAGAGAAAGAAAGGACAACGTTGAATGTTACGAAAATGTTATTTCATTCTTAAAACATCATCCACGCAATGTTCTTCCCGGCCGCCCGCTCGTCCGCCTCCCCTCTATCCCATATATCGAACGAAAATCGATTATCCTCGTTATCTTGTTGAATTCTTTCACGTTTAAATTCCAAGATGTCTTGTCTCTGATTGGTCAGTATATTATGCTCGGAGGAGAGCGTTCTCGATTCCAATGCAATCTTGAGAACCGTTTTCTCGTCGTGCATGTGAAAGTGAAGGAGGAGAGAAGAACGGTGGAATACCGTGTCCGCCCTCCGCAACTTTGTGCTAACAGAAAGAGAAAGAGAAAGAGAAAGATGGTATAAGAAAAAGAGATGGAGAAAGAGAGAGAGAGAGAGAGAGAGAGAGAAAGAGATAAAAATAACTGGGAGGAGGGAAGAAGTTGAAGGCTTGTGTAAACAGAAGAGCCAGTTTTCGCGCCGCACGGTACACCGGTACGTCTGCACCTCCCCGAGATCCATCACGTTCTTTCGTCTCCTCCTCTACCACCTACTTCTCTTCACCTTCTCTCCCGTTAAATTTTCTCTCTCTCTCTCTCTCTCTCTCTCTTTCTTTTTCTCTCTTTTCGTATTATCAACAACAACGGTTGATTTTCTTACGAAATTGAATAAGAGAATCGTGACGTACCGTGGGATCTTTTTTATGATTTTTGGATTCCAATTGTTTCTTTCTATTATTTTTTATTTTTGTTATATATTTTCTTGTTTTTTCTTTATCTTTTTCATTTCATCATTTTTATAAGACAAATTCGGTAATAGATCCTACATACGATGATACTATATAACTTCACGATAAATTATAGTAATATACTGTAGTAGTAATACATATATATATATAAAGACTATTATCTTCGTCATCGTAACGACATATGACTGATCGGCAAGCTTGGCATCAGTTTTCTCTTCGTGCTAAAGACAACCGGGTATCGATTTACCTTAGAAGGAACGTTCCAAAGAGCTCGATATATACTCCGGAAGAGAGACGTCATCGGATAAATGACAGTGACTTTATAGAAGATATAGCTATTGTTCTTGGCAATGTTAACGATCGACGTCACATCCACTGTTTTAACCAGTTCCAATTCTAATTTATTTTATTAGTTATAGTAATTAATTCGATATCTTGATATCAAATCATTTTTTACTCTAGGATTTTGAACGTAAATAATTTCCCATTATTATGATAACCAAAATCACATCGAAAATAATGAAGATTATTTTGAAGAATAATTAAATGTATGATTACTTTACAAAAGAATACTTATTTTGTTTCAAAAAGTATCATATATTAATTGTTATACATAATCTTGTTTTTTTTTTTGTTAAATAGAATAATCGTTTTATTTCGCGTAGAAATCAATTTTATTTACTATCTCTTACTTGATTATTTCGTTTTTGTTTCCATTCCCTCTTTCTTTCGTTATCGTATTAGCGAAAGCGGATGCGTGCCTGCGGTCGCTCGAGTACAATTTCCGTGGTCGTTTACCACGAACGTAAGAGTAGGTGCCGCTAAGTATTTTTACGATCACGTTACAACGATAATCCTAAAGGATCGTCGTCCCCAGGTCAACTTTCCGTTTGTCTGATAAAACTATGGAAAAACTTCCTCATACGAAAATGAATTCGATCGATTCTTATAATTAGTTTAATGAAAAGTTAAACATGTATTTTCATGAGAAAGAAAGACGTCAAGTTCGTTTGTTTCATCTTAGAATCATTAGAAACCGGCTTTTAACCCTTTGTCTCCTAATTACACGGTGAGAAAACTGGTCCTGAGACTCGTAGAAATAGACATATATATATACTACTCTACCTGTTAGAAAAAGAGAATGTGTATGTCTATTCAACGAGCCCGATTAAGAGAGGCTCGTTCTCTTCCATCGCGTTAGAAACGGTAGAGCCACTAATTGGTTGTCTTCATTGTTCGAATCGACTTACGACGAATTTACTCTAACCCTTTTCTACGACCACCCCGAGAGTAGTCAGGGGGATAGGGTGGATAGGCGTTCCAAAGCTATCTAAAACGTTCTCGGAATAACATTGAATGAGTTACTCGAAATAATACGAGCATGGGAACGCATCTTTTCTTTTTTTCTTTCTCGTTTCTTTTATATTTTTCTTTTTTTTTTTTATCCTGCGACAACTGGATAAGATCGATTAACATACTCGTTCTAAAAGGACACAGGAATAGAATAAAAAGATAGAAAGAGCGAGCAGAAGTTTAAAGAATTTCGCGCGAGCCAGCTTTTCCTTTTGAGTGTCAGGAAAAGACGGACTGACGGATGGATGGATGGACGGACAAAACTAGATAGGATTAAATATGGATCGGAGATCGAGGAAGGAAGGAAGGAAGGATTTTCAAGCGCAGACAGGACTCGTCCGACTTGAAATTTAATTATTTTAGTCTTAGCGAGCTGTGTGATTAGCGCGTCACTCCGGTAAACCAGACTTCAGCTGTCGCACCTTTGATCCGAGCCGAGACGCCCAGATTTATTTTCTCTCTCTACTTTATCACTCTTTTTTTCTTTTATCCAGTTTGTATGTACATCGTGTACACGTACTCTTTGCTTCTGGTAAAGAAGGAAGAAAGGAAGGAAGGATGCCGTTGCCCATCGACCAATCGTGCGTTTAGGTGTTAATGACAGGGTCGCTATTATATACGTGCGCCCTCATAACAAGAGCTGTAGCTTATACGCATCTTTTCTTTCTTTCTTTCTTCTTTTTTTTTATTCTTCTGCTTACGCGTTTGGTATACCGCTTTGGTATACCTATCTCGCGTTGTATTATAGCTTTCATAACGCCGACGCCGCGAAATTGTGGCATGCCAGTGGTTCTCAATGGTACCATTTATTCGTGTCACGGAAATAACAATCGTTTCAATCAACCCCCTTTTTCTTCTATTATTGTTCACGGATAAGAGAAACTTCTCCGCAACACATAGGACAAAACATTGGCAACAGTATTTGGACGAGTTTCTTCGAGCCTGCTTTTAAACGTGAAAGGGTTGAAAGAACTCGGCCGTCGTCCTCATTCGAGGGCGCGGCGGGTCAGTTGCGAACCTATAACCAACCGGCAAATCGGTTCCCGTATCGCGAGAAGCACGTAGAAGTAATATATGGGATCCATTCTTCTCTCCTTCTCCTTTTCTTCCCCTCCAATCCCTATCTCATTCTCTCATTCTTTCTCTTAACGTCCCGGTCTTTTTCCTTGTATGAGAACGCTGGTCGCCCATCCCACCGGTTATTATCGGGGGTAATCGTGCCTAAAAGCCGGTGCCCGCTTTTGATTAAAATTGCCTTTTAATTCATTTGGCAGCCTCTAATCTCCTGGCGGCTTCGATCAGAGGGCAGAAACAGTAAGGAGACGGGGGTGGAGTTTTCGATAGAGGAAAAGAGTCTCAGTCTCTCTCTCTCTCTCTCTCCCTCTCTCTCTCTCTCTTTCTTTCTTTCTTTCTTTTAGCAAGACGAAGAAATTTTTTGGTCATGTTCTCCTCGTCGCAAAAATTCTTCTTTTAAACTCCTTGCAATCGATCGAAATCGTTATTATTTTGGTAATCCTTATTATTGAACAGTGTATTATACCAAGTATCGAGGCTAACCAAAGGGAACATAAGAGAGTCTTTGATTTTCGGTATTTAGAGAGAAGCACTTGGCACTACTTCAAATTCGATATCGAAAACCGCAGGATATATATGGAAGACTTCCAAACACTTACCGGTATTGTAATGTCTCTCGCGATGTGATAGTGAACTATTTCGAGATATTGTCAATTTCGTATATGCCGTTTCCGACGTATTTTCATACATATTCATTGTTCTCGTTTTTTCTTTTTTTTTCTCTCTTTTTTTTTTTTTTTTTAATAGATATTCCTTCAAATGAATGTAACGGAATTGACTTTTCGAATGGAGGTTAATTAACTTCTATAAAGTTCGATTTAGAAACTCTCTCGAACAAAAAAAAGAACGTAAATAACTTAGAGAGATAATTTTGGATGTTTCTTGATAATCCGATGCCGAGAATTTAACCGAACTTAACGAGACCACAAGAAATGGACCACCCAAAGTACACTTTCTTTCTCTTTCTTTTTACACTATCTATCTCTCTTGTCTTTTCAAAGGAAGCTGTTAAAGTTTGAGGAAACTTAAAATCTTCCGGGACTTGGTCCTACACCTGTAAAACTCGTATTCTCCCTTTACCACGATCGTAACAAAAGAAGATTCTTGGTTGCTGAGATATTTCGTAATAATATAAGAGAGAAAGAGATAGAGAGAAGAGTTTGGGTTATAGAAATGAAAAAAGACGAAAAAGAGAAAAGGAGAAAGAGAATGAGAATGGAAGAGGAGAGGTGGAGAGGGTGTAGAAGTTGAACGTGCACTCTTCGGGGTCGAAGCACGAACGACAGGGTCCGCTAAGTGGCAAAGCACACACCAGTCGGTCTCTGTGCCTCCTTCATTAGCACCGACCTGCCTGCCTGCCTGCTTGCCTGCCTGCCTGCTTGCCTGGCCGCCGCTTTTCTTCTTTCCACGGTGCCGAAGAAGAGTGCTGAACGATGGAATAAGAGGGACAGTAAGAGTGAGCGAGAGCTAACGTATTTCGATGTAGGTAGAGTACGGACTCCTCACGCCATAAACCACACGGGGACCTTCTTTCTCTTTCTTCCTTGTGGTCTCGCTTCTCGGAAATGTGCCAGTGCGAGAATGCGCGCGAGCGCGCGCGCGCACGCTTTAGCATACCGATGCCACCACCAAAGACATCTCGAGTCCGGCCACCATTGACGAGTTAGCTTTGTCCCATAGCATTTGCCGCGTGTATCGTTTCGAAGGACGCACAGCAAAATCTTTTATATTCTTCTCTCTCTTTCTCTTTCTCTTTCTCTTTTTATTTTCTACAAAAGCAACGATTCTCTATTTGCCCTTTTTCTATTTCTGTTACAGAGAAGCTCACGACACAGTCCGAGGACTTCAGTAGGAAGTTGTATATCTTCGCGGAAAAAAGCCAGCGATACATTTGCTTCAACAAGCGGTGGAAACTCGTCGGCTTGGTAATTTTACTTGACTTCCCTCCAATTATTCTAACCGATTGTTTCATCACGAGAGAGTTCACATATTCGAATAATTTATTTCTCTATTCTCAATGATATCATTTAAAGTTTTCTTATTACTTATTAACTATAGAAGATTTCAAGCATTTGTTGTAATATCTCTAAAATCTTGGCGTTTAAATGAGCCCATTTTGGATCAAATGGTACGACCCTTTTTTTTTATGTTGCAGCCGAAGAAACAGAAAGGACCGATGTGCCAGTTTTACGAGGTATACAACGGGTCGTATCTCAGGTACAGGAGCGTGGCCGACGGTACGCGATACCTCGGTTTCAACAAGCTCGGCAAACCGATGAAAAATCCCCATGGTAGACAGGAATGTTTCAACTTCATCAAGTACAATCCTCATGCCGATATAAACCACCATAACAGCCTGGTGAACGCGGATATGGGTGGTATGGAACCGAGAGAACCTTACGTGCTATCAAGAAAGCCTTCACCGATGAGGGCAACGAAGAACTCGCTGATACAAGCCGACAGTAGTGGTGTGAGGCAGCAACAACAGCAACAACAACCGCAACAACAGCAGCAACAACATTCAGCAGGGCACACGACGCATCGTCATCGGCACTCGAATCGTTGGAAGAATCGACAGGACGAAGAGGAACACTCGGCGATGCAACGAAGACGACACGAGAGTCGTCTCCTCGTCGAGGCCAGCAAGTATTGAGCCGGAAAAAGCATTGGCTCGCCGATCAAGACTGCCTCTTTAAATCCACACACGCAACACACATATACATACATGTAGTAGTACACGCGATATACACAAAGCGTACACAAAATACATACATATATATATATATATATATATATATATATATATATACTTATTGTACACGAATATACACTTACATGAAAACTATTATAATTACACAACAACTGTATACACAGGCAACACACACAGACAGACACCGAACCTCCGTGAGTAACCTGAGAATGTATTGTCACCGAACATCAACAAACACACACACACACAGAACACGCTTAAATCGTCGCTTTGATTGGCGTTATTTTGTTCGAAAAATCAGTTCGGTAACGAATATTCAGGGAAATCTTCAAAACGGAGAAACACCGCGACTTCGAGATGACTGCGATTGCGTTTACTCGAGGCGCGTGAATTCGATCGCACGAAAAGCCGCGTCTCGATTTTTCTATGGAGATAATGTATAAGAAGATCAAAATGGAATAGGCGAAGGATAGAAGAAAGGATAAAAAAAAGAAAAAGTTAAAGGAAAAGAGGAACAACAACAAAAAAAAAAAGAAAAAAAGGAAGAAAAATACATAGGGACGAATTTCAACGACTTCGATCTTCAAAATTTTCGCGCGACTCCGAAACTCCTCACTTGTCCCCCGACTGAACCCATTTAGGACAAGTAGGAGTTATTAAACACAGAGACGTAACACGCGAGAAAGAAAAGTCAAAAAAGACTCGCGTCGCGTTTCGAATATTTGCGGCAGTCAGGCCACAATTCTTCTTCGCGCAAACGAGTAATCGGTCGATTGAAAAGAAAAACAAAAAAACAAAAAAATATAATCGTAATGGCGATCGTAGGTGAGCGCACGTGCGTTAGTTTTTCAACCGAGCGATCTATCCCTTTCTCTCTCGCTCTTTCTCTTTCTTTCTCTCTCTCTCTTTTTTGTACGAACGGATTAATAAACGGTTCTAAAAAAAAATAAAAAATAATATAAAACATAAAGAAAAAATAACATTTCTTCTTCTTCGCTACGCACACGAACATTATCAAATTAGTTTTGTATTCTTAAAATGCGCGATTTTCATATAAACAACATCGAATTAAATGCGATTGATTATTTAACTCTTAATTGTATAAAAGGAGAAGGAGAAGGAGGAGAAAAAAGAGGAAAAGGAGGAGAATAGAGGAAAAAAAAAGATATATATATATATATATATTATATATATATATATAAAATAGAGATTCGCGGTGTTCCTCAGGAGGGGCGTCGCGCGCGAACTCGCTGCTGCGTACACACTGAGAACAATAAATAAATAAATAAAGAAAAAGAAAAAAAAGGAAAAATAAGCCTCATGTCGCTGCGCAAAAAGACTCACTCGCTCGCTGTGTGCTAATTTAATAGACCGCCTAACGTAACATAACATAACATAACGTAACACAACGTATGTGCGTGCGTGCGTGCGTGCGTACGTGCGTGCTCTGCCTGCCTGCCTGCCTGCATGCATGTCGTATGATATGTGAATGTTAAATGTATGCGTGTGTGCGTAAATGCGCTTGTGTGTAAGTAGTAGCGTACGCGTGCGGCTACGTACGATCGATCGATCGATCGCTCGCGAGCGAACTCAAAGCTTCGATGCACCCGACCGAGCAATACTAATAATAATAATAATAAGAATAATAATAATAATATAAATAATAATAATAGTAATAATAATAATAATAATTATAATAATAATATTAATGATAATAATACTAATAATAATAATAATAATATGAATAATAATATTAATAATGTTAATAATATTAATAATAATAATAATAAAAATAATAATAATAATAATATTGACATGAAAACAAAAAAAAATATATACACGATAAAAGATGATAAAAAGTAAAAAAGAACATTGCAGAGGAATCGTGGCCCGAGCGAGCGAGCGAGCGAGCGAACGAACGAACGAACGAGCAAAGCGAGCGAGCGAGCGAGGAAAAGCGTACCTCTCACTCTCTCTTTATTCTGTGTTGTTGTTGTTGTTGTTGCGTGTGTTAAAAAAAATGCGTGCGTCGTATGCGTGTGGTACGCATCCAAACTCGTGCGTGCGTGCGTGCGTGCGTGCGTATGTTGGGGTTGGTAAATTTGCCTCTTAAACGCGTGTGAGTGCGTGTAATATAAACTATATCGTTATTGACTTAATCCTTAGGAAATGCTGCTGGCGCATTAATAATTAAACAAATAAATAAAAACTGTATTATTAGGTTAGAAAAACAAGCGAAAAACTTATGTACGCGATGGCAAAGCGAAAAGCTGTACTGGTTGTTGTTGATTACTGCTCCTGTTATTGTTGCTACTGTTGCTGCTGCTGCTACTGCTGCTGCTGCTGCCGTTGCCACAGCTACCCCTTGTTTCCTATTTTCTCAATATCTTTTCCTTTTACAATTTTTTCCCCATTTTCTCTATTTCCCTTCTTTCAACCTTTTTTTTTTCTCCCCTCTTCCTCGAGTCCTTAATCCAACGGGAGCAGCGACACACGGTGCAGCTTTTCTCTGTAACGCCACGCGAAAGGAGCGCCTGCTCTGTTTTTTCTCCCAAAAAGGTAACGCTCCCTAGGTAGCTTATTTATTGAAATCACGTTTTAGGTTACTACGAAGGCCGAATCGCCCGATCTTTTAATTCATACTTTCCCTCTTCATTTCTTCTTTTTTTTTCTTTTCTTTTTTTCCCTCATTTTCTCTCTTTTATTTTCACCCTCCCTGTCCCTCATCATTTTCGTCTCTATCCTAATCCCTTCCTCTTTCTCGATCGACCTCGTAACGCGTGTGTGAAAATACGCGTAGCTCTCTTTACCATAATACCCCCCACCCCTCGATCCTACTACCCCAAATATCTATATTTTCGTTTATTTTTAATTATCTCTTGACAATCTTTCTTTTCTTCTTATCTTTTTTCCTTCTCATTTATATAATTCCTCTTTTGTGTGTTTGTGTTTTTTTTTTTTTTTTTTTAAAGAGTGTACCATTCCCCATTTCTTGTTTCTTTCCTCATCGATTCACCCTCACGACATCACACACGAATTCTTACTTAATCATTGACCGTTCGATCGCGTAATGATCGAAACAGTTTTGTCTCTTATTTTTCGTTGTTTTGTATAAAGATATAAGAAAAAAAAAAAAAAAAGAAAAAAGAAAAAAAAAAGATAACAAATGATAAAAGAATGATCTGAAATCGCGGACGTTTACGCGCACGATTCGATTTTAAACTCCTTCCTTCCCTTCCTCCTTTAACAAAAGCCCCGTTTCTTTTTCTTTCTTCTTGTCCATAGAGTATCAACTCATTTTTGATAAATTTTTCATTCATGCATTCATATACATATAGGACGCATATACATTCACGAATCATGTGCGTATGTAAATAAAAATACGTATTATGCCTAGCTTTCGAGGAGAAACGAATTCCAGGCCAACGATCGTGCCTCGCATTTAATCGTCTCGTTCGTTAAAAAAAAAAAAAAAAATAATAATAATAATAATAATAATAATGAAAGAAAGAAAGAAAGAAAAAAAAAAAGAAAAACATTATTTAATGATAATGAGCACCAACATTCCCTTTTCTTATTTTCTACGTACTTAAAAACGAAACCTCTCTCACGCACACGTTGTTGTTCGACAAATTGTCGAGAAATGAGATAAAAAAATAAAAAAGTAAAATAAAAAAAAAAAAAACCAAAAAACAAAGAAAAGAAAAAGATTTTTTTCGTTCTGACTTTAAGTTTGCGGCTCGAGATTTTATAATAAATCGAGTAAGAGAAATACTCGAACGTTTAGTTTTTTGCGCAACGTTAAGACAACAGCGCTTTAGAAAGGCCCTACAAAAAATATAAGAAAGTCCCACCCACGACCGCCCCCGAGAATGCTGTTTGTATGTGATGCTAATGTGAGTAGTTAAAAACAAATTGTACGTAGGAATATATGTATATATATATATATATATATACACATGTATATATATGTATATATATATATATATATGAGAAAAAAAAAGATAAAAATAAAAACATAAAAAATATAAAAACAAAACGCCACGTACCCTTTGACGATACCGAGAACGATAGATAAATCGAGAAATCGATCATTTTGTTTATACTTGAAATTCTATAGAACTATAATTGAAGTTTATTATTATCATCATCATCAACCCTCACATTCAAAATTCTCATAAAGAAGAAAATTGAAATTTTTGGCGGAAGTGGAAATAGAAAACCGGATTCGAGTTTGCATAGAAGAAGACTATGCGAATATAAACGTATGTTTTTCTACTCTACACTCATTATACATACATATATATATATATATATATACACGTACATGCATATGAACATACATACATACCAACATATATAAACACACGCATATGCATGAACACACATCACCATCAAGAATCTTTTTCTTTTTTTTTTCTTTCCTTTTCTATATATCTTTCAAGCTCCGCGTTTTTCCACCTTCTGTCTCTTTTTAACACACGTATTTCTCCTATCTCGTTTTCTTCGTCCATTGGTGCGTGGCGTGCGCAAGCTAACTAAGCAGAATAAAATGTTGCGCGTAAACGGAAACTAAATGCCACCAGCTGACCATGGAGATTTATTAAAACGAGGAAAGAAAAAGGAAATAAGAAAAGTGAAGGAAAATAAGAAAGAATATAGATATATATATATACATATATATGGGAAGAAAAAAGAATAGAACAAGAAGAAGAAGAAGAAGAAAAAGGAAAAATGACATGTAAAAGTCCGAACGCTTATAATTTAATAACAGACAACCTAATTGTAACGCGTAGTGTATTCATATTGTAATATGGTATTGTAAACGCCACCTTTAAAGATGAAAAAAAAAAGAAAAAAAAAACAAGAAACACAAATTATCCTAGAACTATTATTACTATTATTATTATTACTATACTATTACTATACTACTACTACTACAACAACTACTACTACTACTACTACTACTACTACTACTACTACTACTACTATTCGTTTTTGTATGTGTAAGCATAGTTTCGTCACAATCGTCACGAGGTAAGGGGAAGAGGCGCTGCGAGAATCACGAT